GGGGGGGGGGGCGTGGTTAGGGGGTGAGTGGGTTGGGGGGGGGGGGGGGGGGGGGGAGGCAGCATGGAGCAATTGTAGCTTCTCACCTTTTGGAGCCAAGGAGACTGCACATGCCAATTCCAGTGCAGCTGTGTCACTCCTGTTTCTGTTCCATTTTAAAATAGTTGCAATTCACAACAAATAGAAACTTTTTGCCTCAAAACACATCTTGGCATCGCACTGTTAGATATTTAACTTCAGCCATTATTCAGGGAAAGTACAATTGGCTATTTTTTTAATTGGATGCCTAATAGCTAATGGGATTCATTTAAGAAAAAAAATTAAGTGCACATAGATGGACATGAAAAGTGGGTGCTAAAAACAAATACAAATTCAGTTCATGTCTCTTGATAGCTATTTTCAATGCGTATTTCTTCTAAATAAACTACTTAATATTCTTGTCAGGAAATGACATTTTAATGCTTTGTTCCCTTAAGGGGAAGTAGCTGTCATTTAACAAGCTGTTCTGTTTTGTGTCAAATGGTTTGTTGCAGGAAGCTATTATAATACAAACTTCCAGATGCATTATTGCTATAATAGAAAAAGAAAAACTTTTTTTTTAAATTTTTTTTTAAAGGATTTGAAATACTGGCTTCCATGTTTGCCATGCTGCACATCTATGTCTATAGAGGGCAGAAAGCCCCTGGATCATTTTTTTTGATCTCAGAACCAATCTCCTTGTTAACTGACTGGCCCATTGTATAGATAGAAGGCTCTATTATTGAAGACAAGCATTGCATTTTTTTTCTTTTGAATTCTTCTCATCTTAGAAAGGCAATTGTTTGTGTTATTCTGTTTGTTTTATGCCCTGAATAAGGAGTAAAAGGGTATTAATAAGCTGAACGTTATAATAGAGATACTTCTCCCGAAATATACACAGTAATATGCACCTTTTTGTATTGTCAAGACTTATTCTATTTATTGAAGAAAATGTCACAGTAGTGATGTATTAAGCCAGTACTTCAATTACGGGTTGACTTGGGATGACATGTTACATGCTGTAGTTAACACACTTCTTTTCTGTTCAGGTATTTCTGTCCCTGAATAACTTTTTATTTAGCTTTTTTTTTTTTCCCTAGATAGCTTTATTTGATTTAGACTGGCAAATGTTTTTATTACTGCTTTTATATTGCTGTATGATATTGAAATCTCTTGGCATAAATATTTGTGTTTCCAGTACCTCAGTTGTTCTGATATTACTGCCTGTATACGTTTTGTGAAGTGGTCATGTTTTTGGTAGGTACATGTGGACTTTGTAGTATGTAAATGTTACTTGAATTTGTGCTTAATTATAGTATGTGGCATGTGCGTACAGCTACTTGGCATTTGACGTATGGATGCTATTTGCCTGTCCTGCAGGAAAGTTTATGATCCCACTTTCAAGAGGATGTTTCACAGTTCTTTATCAAGAGACAAAGCTAGCTGCAGCTGACCTGCCTTGGTTCTATTTTGGTAACTAAGAATATAAAGGAGTAATGTTTTTACACTCTGAAGATGGTGCTGTGTCAAGAAGGACTTTTTTTTTTTTTAACTTTTATTTTATGAGTACCTTGTAGGAGGAAAGATTGGTGATGTGCATGGTGGGGTTTTACTGCCTCTGGTGCTTTGTCATGTATTTGGTTTAATGTTTTTTGTCCTAATCTCTTCAATAAATAAAATTGTGCATATTTAACTAAATCCCAGTTGTAAAGGATTTTCTTTCTAATGTTCCACACTGCTGCAGCAATCTTACCTGGTTGCTATTGCTAAGTTTTTATGGCCTCCAAATGGTGATAATAGAGAGTACTCTTTAAAAGTATGAAGTCAGGTCATTGCTTCAAACAGTTTGAGCAGTGTAAGTTGGTTCTGTTGTTGTTGTTGTTGTTGTTGTTGTTGGGGGTTTTTTAAGATCTAAAATGTACAGTTCAACTTGAGTGAGTTTGGCTTGTCATTACTTTTTGATAAGCCTGTTCTCTCTTTGTCTATATTAGTCATTGTCTGACTGGTCTATATTAAGGAAAGTTATGCTATTCACTGAGGAAAATCTAGTCTGACACTTCATTGGAAAATTTAATGCACTAGCTTGATTCATGAGTCCTAAGGAAATGTATATGATTGCCAAGGTCTCAAATCTCATGCATTATCCCTCCGTTCCATTACTGGATGAATCTGAAGAAAATACAGTCTCTGTTTAAGCCAGATTCGGATCCTCTTTCTCATGTTGAATAGCATCTTGAATCCATCTGTTGAGATCAGTGGAAGCACCAGTGAAATTAAGCCCTATTTCTTTTTGAGGTAAGTCTGTCAGACTGTAGCTCAAATAACTTATGCATGAGGTGCCACAGTCCGTTCTCAGCATCTCTGCTGGTGGGACCAGTAGCATAACTAGCAGGAGCAACAGCAGCAACTGCCTCGGGTGCTAACTTCTGGGAGGGGAAGCAGTTGGCAGTAACTGATTGACTTGTGACCCAGAAGTGACTTGCTCTTGCTTTGTCCTGGATGCTTGGCTGCATCCCTACGCTACTGGGTTGGAGGACAACAGGGAAACCAGTAACCCTTCAAAATAATGATGCATTCCACCACAAGTTAGCAGAACAGACATGAATATCAGGTTAGCTAGGTCTAGGCCAGACTGGCTCATGCCTAATACTATGGGTGGTTGTATGAAAAATTCTAATTGCTGTTCATAGTGCCAACCTCAAATGTCCTGGATATGTAGAAACTCTCAGAAATTGGCTTTTAAATTATTTGCATGTCTGCAGCCAAAGTTTAAATGACTTGAAACTCTTTCAAATCAAACTCCTACAAGCAATGTGCTTTATAGGAAAAGCAGATTGTAATCAGGCACCGAAAAGAACAAAGTTTTGGGGTTTTTTGGTGGGGGAGGTAGGGAGGGTCTCTTCCTTTTTCCCTCAGCTACAACACTCTTCCACTAAAACTTATGTGAATGGCTTCTGTTCTGTTTGGGTGGAAATAGTTGGTCCTAATTTTACAGCAAACCTGCATGCTTGCTTTTTTCACTGCCAGTAATTATATGAAAAATGTGGCTGACTAATGATTGCTCATTTGCAGTGAGTTTTATATTAAACACTAATGCATTCTTGGTGTTGCTGTGAAGTAAGCCTTTGGCACTCAAAGTCTGTTTCTTTACATAATGCTAATACCAGTTCTCTGTCCTCACAGCTTGAGCCTTGAACCTTTTAGCATCCAGATTTTAACCTTAGAGACTCTAGTTCTCAGTTGCCAAATCTTCAGCCCTTGTCAGGGGGGAGGTGGAGAAGGATATTTTTAGAGATGGTTTTAGTATTCAGAAAAGTTGTACTAAGTTTAAGAAGCAGGCATCCTGGAAGCTTTCCAACAGTTGTCATAATGGAGCTCCAGCCTCATTTGGATGGCAAGTGCTATGTGGTACATTTCTGAGTAAAGGCTGGCAACCATGTTCAGTAAAGTGTTGTTTTTGTTACACGGACAAACGTTTCTCATACCAACTAGAATGAAAAGCCTGGTTCACAAACAATCATTCATAAGGATTTAACCCTATGGCAGACTTTCAGAGACAAAAAGTACTAGTATTTTGCTATTTGGCGTGGCTTGTTTTAATGAAGTGTATTACTTTCTTGTGACTTTCTCAGCTACAGTTTTCATCCCAGGGGATGCAAACGAGTCCTCCTTTGGTGCAATTACATCATATGACCCCATCACACTAAACTATGTAGGTGCACCCATTTTATTTGAATAAACGTGTGTCCATTAAAAATAGGTTCTCTTCTTTAAAAAAAGGAAAAAGAAAAAAAAGTAAAACTCGTTTCTTATGTTCCTAAGAAAATTCTCCCCCAAAACCACGCTTTCCTGGCAAGCAGCAAGGAAGAAGGGTATGAAATGTGATGCCAAGGGAAAATTATTGGGAAGGGGGGAAAAAAATAACACTCTTCACCCTGAAATGATTATGTAGAAATTTGGAAATGCATGAGTGAGCTCTGTGACTAATAGCATAATGAATACCAATGGGATTACTAATGATCGGTTCCTTACTCCTTAAGTTTTGCCTAAGGTTTCTGAGAGAGAGCTAATTTAATAACGGACCGTATACCCAACAGTTCAACTGTCTTGTATCTTTTGTATACTTTCAGCAAAAGAAAATGTTGAAGATTATCACTAATGTGAAACAAATTAAAAGGCAAGTGTAGGTGTGGTAAATTTCCTGCCATATGTTGTTCTACCTGCAGCATGAAGAGCTACTACTGTGCAGGCCTAAGAAGCTACACTTTAAAATAATATCCATCCATCCCCCCCCCCC